CCTTAAAAGTTAAGGTTCATAGACCAAGAACAGAAATGGGAAGATCTTCGTTTAAGCACAGAGCTGCACTATCCTGGAACCTCCTTCCTGAAGACATCAAGAACTGTTCAAACTTAACTTCTTTCAAGAGAAAACTCAGGGAAAATAAGAGAATTCTGAAATCTATCAGTTTTGCTAAAGCTTCCTGCAGCGTTTCCAACAAATCTGTTGACTTTAAATACTTTTAACATTTACTCCGTATTGTTATTAATATTTATTTCTTTCAATTGTCATTATTTACATACCCATTTTCGGTTCATTCACTAATTAGGTATTTATTTATTGATAGTTTAATTGATGCAGGTCCACATCAGGACGTAATGTCTTGCCTATCCCTCAACCTGCTTTATTAAATAAACTATGATGATGATGACTATTCCACCTAAGGTCGCTATCGATGAATACTTCTAGAATCTTGTAAGTCGATACGCGTTCTATATTGTTATTACCAATAACTAATGGTCTGAGAGTAAAATTAGGAAACGACATTAAGTTAATTAACATCTCTTTACATTTAGTAGGGTTTAGTCTCATGTTATGGTCCATGGAGAATTGTGAATGTTAGATACAATCGTATTGAGCAGACTGAGAGTTCCTGGGTAGTATTTCTATGGCAGACGTGTCATCCACAAACTTGACTCTCAGGTGCCAATCAGCTAAAAGATTGTTTGTCATTATTGTGAAAAGTATCAGTTAGCGGGAGGATCGAACAGATCACGTACTTGCCAAACAAAAACAGGACTCGAGACATAACTGACCTGTAACGATATTTTGGGATCACTGAATTCTATTATTGTTTCATCAGCCTATCACCACGCAAGTCTATGGTAATTACTTTTGGGAATTTTTTCAGACAAATTTTAGAAGGAATCTGGCGTTTTTGAAGGACTGGTATGTATACAACTACATATGAGCAGAATATTATTTGCAAAAATGCACAGTTGAAGGGTATTTTGCAAAAGTATACCGTTGTTCACTGTTGGATATTTGGAGGTAATGTCAAAGGCTCTCGACCGATGGGAAGGAAAGAACAATTAACCGCATATTAGTAACATTAAGCATCACTGGAACTGTTTAGAGTAAAAAGGAGAATGGCTTGGGCCTGTAGTATCATGTCAGACTCAGACCATTACGATTGATAATTTAAGCGACTGGTTACATCAGCTCATACCATATACAAATACATCAACTTACAGAGCAGCAGGTGTAATTCTTGAGGTTTCTCCTCCGAGCCAAGGCAAGCTTGCGGCAAGAATAGATAAAGGGTCATGCGCGAGACGAGCCCTTCCCCTAGCTTCAAGCGACTAAAAAGCGCGTATGAAATAGGAATGCTCTGCTAGCCTTTTGCAGCGTTCAGTTAGTAAAAAGGAGC